GCACTTGGTTGGCGGATCACCCTCCGATGAGGGGATGCTAGGGCAGTGCTCCTCTCACAGCCCGGCGAGGACATCTCTTCAGTCGCCCCAGACGGATGCCCCCATGGTGGCCACTATGGGGAAACCTGAGATGAGCAGGATGGGCGGTCTTTGTGCTTCGGATGCGGTGGGAGTTAACCCAGTTGGGACACAAGCAGGCGGACTACAACCGGTTGGGCCTTCTCACGACGACATTGTTGCTTTCAGAGGGATCCCGGATCCCAGATCCGAAGGTATTCAGCTGAGCAGCAGGCAACAGGGGCAGCCTGACGTAGATGATCTGCAGCTGGGGCGCGCTATGAGGGCAGCCAAGCTTCGTGACATTGAGGTCACTACAGGTATGTCAGTAAATACTACCAATTCAATTTTCCATTTTTCTGAAGTAGATATTGTGAACAATGCAAGTCAGTTGGGAGTATCGTTAGGGTCTGGAGGTAAACAAATTGCTAAGTCTGTTAATGACCTACTTGATCTTGAGGCAGAAAGAGCCATGGAGATTATTAGAAACTTAGCGGATGTTAAGCCTTTAAATGATTCAGAAATTAATGCTTTGGGTGTTAGGGTGCTCGATAATTTTTGCAAGGACCTCGCACCGTCTCCCGCCCGGTCTAAGAGGGTCGGGAATCCGGAAACTAACGAGTATTCAGCCCCAGTTGATCACGAGGAATGTAAGCTCATTGAGCTCAGTTATGTGGACCGAGTTGAAGAGCAAAACAAGCCTAAGCGCAAGTGGAAACGAAAGATATATCCGTACTCGGCAGTGTGCAGAAGTGCTAGGGTCCGAACTGCAAAAAAATTCCATGATGACAAATGAGAGGAATCTTTTGGAACAACAAAGGTTTGACGGACTTGGCTAAACAAAGGTTTCTGGCAGATGCTTCTTTAGAGCACAAGTTAGACTTTATTGCCCTCTCTGAAATGGGTAGAGACAATTTTACCTCACAGTTTCTTAGAACACTATTGGGAGGGATAGATTACGATTAGCACAGCTTACCCCCAAGAGGAAGATCCGGTGGGATTCTACTTGGGGTCAAGTGCGAAACTTTGGAGGTCCAAAATGTCTTTATGGGGGAATTTGCAGTTAAATTTTGAGTTAGATCCAAGGTTGACGGTTTCCAATGGGCACTGGTGCCAGTGTATGGAGCTGCTCAACCCGAGTTAAAGCCGGATTTCCTATCGGATTTAGTTCGAATTTGTGGAGATGAACAGCTCCCAATTTTGGTTGGGGGTGATTTTAATATTATAAGAAGGCGGGATGAAAAGAATAATGATAACTTTGACGCCAAATGGTCGTTTATGTTCAATACGATTATTGAAAGCTTGGATCTCAGGGAGATAGAGCTTTGATGGAAAATTTACTTGGGCCAACACGTTGCCCAATCCAACTGATGAGAAGTTGGATCGAGTCCTCACCAGCGTGGACTGGGAGCGGAAGTTTCCTCTGGTGACAGTCCATGCGTTGTCACGGTCGGTCTCGATCACACCCCACTTCTAGTTGATTCTGGGGAGGCAACCCAGGTGGGAATAAAAATATCTTCTCTTTTGAAATATCCTGGTTTGAGAGGGAAGGGAGCAGATACATCACTGCTCAACTCCCCACCTCACCGCTCAAGCTCCGCCACCGGTGGCTGGGATCCACGGTCGGTTGTGCTGCCCCGTCCGTGCTCGCCTGCCACCTCCGCTGGCGTCGCACGTGGTCGACAAGCCAAGCCCTGCACCGACCGGTCACGCGCCAGCTTCGTCCTCCCTCGACCCCCGCTGCCGGCCGCCCGCCAGCTTCCTCCTCCCTCGACCCAAGCCACCGAGCACGCCGCGGAGTCCTGCCTCTGGAAGCACGACCACATTGGCCTGGATCTCTGCCACCGGGTGCGCCCAAGCTGCAGTGCCTACAGGTTGCGTCGACACCGTGCACGCAAAGCGTTCGCGGTAATGCCTCTTCGTCACAAATGCAAAAATTCGTTTCGATGGTGCACCGTACGTTTGTCCTAGTGATTTGTATGCTTGTTTAGTTGCCTGTCTGGCTGCTCACGCTCAACCTGCATTTGTTTGTTTGGTTGCAAATGCCGCCTAGTTTGTTTGTATGGATCCTCATGTTCAAGCTGTGTTATATGTTTATCAGTTGCCATCTGATTTTTGGTTTGGTTGTCCTGAACCTGAACCATATCTTCCCCTTAATCATTTCTTCCACAAGATAGGTGTTAACAGAGTACTTGCCATAGGTAGTAAAGTGGTTGCGCACTGTTTTGTCCTACTGATTCTTATGCTTGTTTGGCTGCATACCCGTAGAGTTATTAGTGTCGTCTTGCCCTATCTGCTATATCATGTTGCTGTATATAGGTAGCATTGCAGAGTAAGTGCCCATTATGATTCATATCTCTATCTACGGCCATGTTGCTGTATATTATGTTGGTTGCAGCTAAGTTATGCCCATTTATGTTATCCATGCTATATATTGAACTTATCTATCTATGTTAGCCATCATCCATGTATCTATCTATTTCATCACTACTCCAAAACCAAGTCGTGTTTGCTCATCAATTATTTCTTTGTTGGCATGTAAATTCTCAGTGGCTGTTTGGTCTCCTAATTACTAGATTCTGCTTCAGGCCATGTTTCTCTGCTTGCTTTCTGAGTTATAGCAGAATGTTTCTTCAGAGCCCTGACTCTTTTCTTTTCTTGTAAGGAAGCAAACAAATGTTGTTTTCTTGACAAGATTGAGTGCTTTGACTTTGAATTTTCTGGACCAGCTTAATAGTTTTTGTAGGATTGTAGGACAGACCCAGTGCATAGAAGCTCCCACACAAGGTGGGGTCTGGGGAGGGATTATAGGAACCTAGTCTTACCCCTGCAAAGTGCAATGCAGAGAGGCTGGTTCGAACCCAGGACCTCTTGGCACAAGTGGGGAGGACTTCACCACTGCGCCAGGCCTGCCCTCTGCATTGGTAGCTAAGAAAAAATTTATAGCAGCAGCCAGTTTATTTAAAGATGCATTATTTTTGTATCTACTTGCTCTATTGAAGTATCATGGTTTTGTCAACTTAATAACCTGTATAGGCTACTAGTTACCATGGTCTTGCATGAATTTATTGTGTGCTACTATTGAGATGTCGTTGCTGCCGATTCATTAACTGGGGTGATTCCTTTGCTCAAATCTGCAATGTGTGTTTGGTATCTAAATTCAGTCCTTTGGTTACTAAATAACAATAAAAATTTCTCTGTTGAACCTTGCATGATTTTATAGCCTACCAATACAAGTAACCTCTTGTATCATTATCCAGGTCAAAATATTTAATGAGCTATGAATATTGGTATCTTTCCTGCAGATGCAGTAAAGATTCTTTATGAGCCTGTGATATCCAAAATCTCTTCACTTCCCTAGAGCAGTCAGAGACCAAGCATTGACTGACACTTTGGGGTTAGCCTTCTTTCTACTCTATCATGTTGCCCTAGATGCTATACAAGGACATATTCTCCTTCCTTCCTTCATTACAAAGCATTCTTCAGCTCATTGTACTTCCATTTTAATCGATCAAGTAAACAATAAATATTTGACGGGCAACTTACTACTCACTGATTAACTTGGGTTTTTGGCTGGCAATTTACTACGCACTGTTTAAAAAGTAGGGTTGTAGCGGACTACTTGCGATATGCCTACCCAAAGGCCTCTATGTCAGCTTTAATCAGGGCTATTACCCCCTCAACCAAGATAGCCTCATTTTTGAAGATGCGTCTGTTTCTCTCTTTCCAGAGATTCCAGGCAATGTACATGACAGTCATGACCTGAGATCTCGTAGTGCGGTTCTTGGTGTATCTTGAGGTTTTGCAACACCAATTGGAGATAGAGGTAGCAGTCTTAGCAGCATCCGCGTGCTAGGTAGTGAGAGCACACCAAACCTGCTTGGCAAAAGCGCAGAGCAGCGTCAAGTGAACTGCACTTTCACCAAACTGATCGCACATAGGACACAACGCAGCGTGTGGCCACCCCCTGTCCCTTAATCTGTCTGCCGTCCAAAGCCTCTTTTGGAGATGCAGCCAAATGAAAAGCACACTTTTCTTTAGTTTTCATAGACCTAATCTTGTGCGGTCTAGGATCCTTCATCTTCCCCAGGAATTGGGTGTAGTAGGCAGAACCAGGAGAGTAGCAGTTATTAGCTGTGAGACCCAGGTGAGTGGTGAGAACAAACACTCTTATCCTCATGAAAGAGTTGTTAAATGGCGCCTCAGAATTTATTCTCTGATGGCCTCTCATCCATCTGTTATTCGTCATCGCATTCGAACTGAGAGGTTTTTGTGGGCAGATAGCTTGTATAGTATAGCTCTGGCTCAAGGTTTTTGTGCGCACCAGTTATCAACCAATTGTAATTCCAGAAGGAAGCACATGCACCGTCGTTGTTGTTGATAGTGGTGCAAGCAGCAAGGCAATTCAGAGTTTTTCTCTAAGCATCTCCAAGACATGTTGTGGCTATAGCTGTATGCATAACCTGATTTTGAGTTTCTTGTTACTACAGTAGTTCCTTAAATCTTTGGAACTGAACATACGTCACAGATGCGCAACTACTACTCTGATTAAGTACTTGCACATGAAGATTGTTAATAGCAAATCTATTTCTGATCTGTGTTTGAAATAAGCCCCAACTCAATGGACCTGGCTTAGCCCTTACCTTCTCAAGATTGTGCTGTTCTTTTGAACCACCTATTTTGCATTATGTTCATAAGTACTCCCTTCATCCCAAAATAAGTGTCTTAAACTTAGTACAACTTTGTACTTAAGTTAGTACAAAGTTGAGACAAGTATTTTGGGACAGAGGGAGTAGTTGCTTGTTATATGCATTGTAATTATTTTATCACAAGGTGACAAGCTTTGAACCTGACCACCAAGTGAAAAAATTCATTTTTATGTTATTGTAGGGATCATCTGACATTTCAAGTACTAATCGATATCATATTGGGCTTCTTTTGCAATGGCGAGTAAATCTAGCATGAGAAGAAATCTGCAGACTGTTCTCACCGACCTCCCTGACATCATTGTCGAGATCCTGTCATGGCTGCCACTCAAGTCGCTGTGCTGCTGCAAGTGCGTCGACACGCACTGGCGCTACCTCATCTCCCACCCTGAACACCTTAAGAAGCTCCCACAGACCCTCGCCGGCTTCTTCTTCGACACCGAAGACATAGGGCGCTGTCCCAAAGTAGCTCGGCACTTTGCCAATATCGGTGAAGGACCTCAGATTGATCCCAGTTACCCCTTCTTGCCGCCTGAGTTTGAGCTCGTCAGGCTGGAGGACTGTTGTGATGGCCTTCTCTTGTGCTGCTCTTCTCAGCGTCCGTTCCGCCGTTTAGTTTGCAATCCTTCCACAGAGAGATGGGTCGTGTTACCAGCGTTGCCAGCTGACTCCAGTTGTGTAGCTCAGGAAGAAACCTTTCATTTGGCTTTTGATCGTGATGTTTCCTCCCATTTCCATGTGTTTCAGATTGTGTTGAAAGAGTGGCGGCGGGTGGCTGGCATAAATATATACTCGTCTGAAACTGGGTCATGGAGCTTCAAGGAAAGTGGGTGGGACTCTGATACCAGCATTTGCACGAGCAGACGCGTGTTTTATCAAGGCATGTTGCATTTTCTCAGTGCTCAGTCTACAGTAGTGTCGGTAGACATGGAGGGGAATAAATGGAGGGCAATTCCAGTGCCAGAAGGAGTGAAAAGTTCTGAGATTGGTTTTCTTGGTCTGTCCAAAGGGCACTTGCATTACATGGTGCACACAGGAAATCGCGTACAAGTTTCCATCTGGTGCCTTGCGAAGTATGATTCAGATGAATGGACGCTGAAGCAGCATGTGGACAATAACAAGTTGGTGAACGTGAGACGTATAGCCTATGACTATGAATACGCTATCATCTCATATCATCCAGATCGTAGTTTGATTTATGCTAATCATCGAGACAACACATTGATGGCATATGACACTGATCGCGAGGAGGCTCGCGTTCTCTGCTCTGTTGGGCGAGGCTCTTTGATATCATGTTTTCCCTATGTTGCGTTGTTCAATGATTCGAGTGTTCCCCTGAGTAGTTAGTTGCTCCTTGGTCTTGTAAACAAGCCAATTGCAGCCATGTAATGCTTAAAGCGCTAGCTGTGTAATGGGATTGAGACAGACTCCCCACTGATGAGCTCTACTTGTTTGCAACAATGTTATGTCAGAACTTCTATGTACGTACTACTACTTTTAGAATTATATATTATGTAGTTTTGTTTACTGTTACATGCATGCAGCTGATATGTGCACGTGACAGAGTTGCTTATCTTTGCTATAAGAGTATGGATCCTTTGGGTGCTAAAGACTTGTTGGCTGAAAGTTAAATGAGTATTATATAGTAGGGGTAGTATATATGTTGCTGGTAGATGGATGGATGGATGCATATGGACTGTATAGATGGATGCAGGTCGTGACCATTTTGGCCAGCCTTTTTTACTCTATTGCCCTGTCACATTTATGTAGGTGAATCGAATGTTGTCATCCAGGTTGTCAGTCAAAGTTGTATGTCTTGTCTCCCAGCAGTCGAAAACATTTTGCAGCTATGTGAAAAGAGCAACCTATGCAACAAGTTTGACTCGAAAAAATGGTTGCCCTAACAGAGTTACTGCCTGGATTGGAGCTGCTCCCCTTTCGTCGTCTTTGGTTGGGCGATGCAATGCATTTCTAGCTTAAGCTGCAGTTTTCTTGCTGGGAAACTCTTTGAGATGTTACTCCTTTTTTCTGTTGATGATGATTGATTCACAAGGCTAATCTTTAACTTGTGCTTCCTTGGCTCATGGACATGATCAGGATGTCTGTCTCAAAGGTTCAACCACTGCTGCTGTTTTCAAATGGGCTACTAAAGCTAATTAACATGCTGTTGCAGAAACTCTTATGTTTGGTGAAGTTGCTGGTTTTTGACTTGGTGATCCACTCATCCTGTGAAACAATAGAAGCCCCTGTTAATGTTATGCAGTGTCCATCACCATCAGGCAGTGGCAGTGCAGCAACAGCTCTTGAGGCTATTCAACAAAAGCTGGCTGGTGTGGATTGTCAGCAAGGCTGACACCCAAACACCCAATCTGCTGCTACTGATGGATCCGCGAAATGACTTTGGTACAAATGCCTTGTCTCCTCAAGAGATCGAAAGCTCACCGAGTTCAGGATGGGTCCGTGTCTATCAGCGTTATCTTCATCCAGGAAACCGAGAGTGTCTCCTTTCATATGGTCTTGTGTCTGCTCTAATCATGTCAGCCTTTGCGGCATTACAAGCTTGCACGGAGTCAATTCATATGGTATTATTGTTTCCTGGTTCTTGGCTTTTACCGATGCCCGGCACCATCTGGATCATCTTCTTCTTCATGCAGCCCATTCAAAAAACAGAGTGTGTCCGTTCCAACATCAGCCAGGCACTGAAGGAGATTCCTTGATGTCTAGTTTGCGGCATTACAAGCTCGCACAAGGAAATAACTAGCCAAGAAGAAAATGGCTTCATCTCGTTTAAGCAACTGCCGGCACCTGACTGGAGGATCAAGCGTGCAACAGACGCCGGGAGAAACAACAACCAGAACAAACATAGATTTTTTTGATGAAGCAACATACTCATTTTCCGAACGACAACCTGGATGCTGTACCTGTACAAAGCTCAAGAGATGTCGCCTCCACCAGTACAGTTCTTGTAGTTAAACTGAATACGACAGTGATACTTTTGTACAAATGCTCGATCTCCTCGAGATATAAAATCAAACCTGGCGCACTGCATTACTTATTGTGAGTTTGGAGTAAACTCCTAATGATTGTTAGCTATTTCCAAAACCAGCAGCATCATCTTCACGGAGAGAGAGTGTCTGAATTTTTAACAGTGATATATAGTCATATAGCAAACATATATATACGTAACTGTAAAACACCAAGCATAACTTCAGCCAAATCATTGAGAAAATGAGAAGAGCCCCTGTCTAAATTCATTAATTAGGTGATGTTCCGTTTTCTCCTTTAAAAAATGGCGGATCATTTTGTGGATCAATGACAGCTGAAGACCTACTGAAGATGCGCAGAGAGTGCAAACACACGCAGTTCACACATCACACTGAAAGAATGTCCGGAACAAGGGAGAAAGCTACAACTTCTGCTGTAGACATACTGTGCAGCATATTGGTGTATGTATGTAAAAGGAGCAGGAGCAGCAACCAACAACTCTGATGTTCTTGGCTTCTACTCCCTCCGTCTCATAATGTAAGACATTTTGTCAGTGTGACAAAATGTCTTACATTATGAGACGGAGGGAGTACTTCCAAATTAATTGGTCTAAAATCGAGGACAGGTTGTGTGTGACATTCCAAAATTTTTATTTGGTTTTTATCAAAAACTTTGTGGTTTTTGAAGAGAGGCCTTTTAAAATTTTTCTTTCAGAAAACCTTCCTCTTAAAAAACTTCCTTTGCTTTGGCAAGGATTTTATTTTTTCAAACTTTAGTATTTGATCTTTTGAAACTTCTTCTCTGTTGGCTCCCTCTCAAATTCATTTTGGGAGTTTAATCTTTTTCTTTTAAAAAGAACTCTATGAGAATTTGGGATTTTCATATCTTGAAAACCACCCATGACTTTGCATTTTTGCCCATGTGGTAAAACCCCTCCAAAAAACCTCCCCTACACCTTGTGATCAACCTAAGTTCTCTGTCCCAACTAATCCAAACAAGTTTTGGATTTTATTCTAATTATTTTTCCTCTCAAATCAATTCTGAAAATTATTTGGAGCCTGAGTGATATTCAAAGCAAGTACCCTTTTGCATTTGAGTTTTGACCTCAAACCAACTCTCCTGGTTAGTCCTTTGTACCCACAACTCAGAACCATCTTGATCCACTCCTCCTCTTTTCAAATTTTTCAAAATTCAGTCTCTGCAAGTTTGGACCAGATTGGCCAAATTTGATGAAATTCATATCTACACTCCTCCAAAAATTCCACCAAAATTCAGGCAGCCTACTTGAGCAATGAGAAGCCACTCCACCAAAAATCAGCTCAAGGAAAAATCACCAGAGGCGAAAAACATTCTGTCGAACACCTGAGCTGCACTGTTCTTTGCATTTTCAGTAAAGTTTAGTAAAATTCAGACTTCAGTGTCATTTTGCGTTCGTCAGCTTCACTCACGCGTTCACAGTGCACTTGGCACGTTCCTCGCAGCCCCTCCCTCTTGCCCGGAGCTTCACACGCGTGCGTGGAGCCTTCCTGGCGTCGGTGGCGCGCTGGCCCGCCCTCGCCGGCATCTTCTGCGGCATCGGGACCTCCCGTGGCGGCCGACAGAAGGCACACCAAGGCAGAACGCCGTTCAGCGCCGCCCAAAGCCCCCTGGCTCTCCGCGTGTCCCTGCCGTGCCAGCGCACGCCCGTGGCACCGTCGCCGTGGCCCGGCAAGCACGGAACATGCTCCCTGCCGCCGACGGGCCGCGCCACCCCCGTTCCGTCGAGCTCATCCATAGCACCAAACCCCAGCCCGTTTAGCGCCTAAATGGGACCGGTGGACCTCAACGGCGATGCCCAAGCCCCTAATCCCCCTGCACATCCACGGCACCGCTGTAATCACTCGCCGGAGATCCCCGTTCACGGCAACCGCCTCGAGGCGCCTATAAAAAGGGCCCCCGAGCTCACCCTCGTGCACGCATCATCCCCACTCCTCACCAACGCCACGCCAGGCCACTAGGAGGTCCTCGAGGAGGTCTCCTCCCCCAACTCCGGCCGCCCCGATCCGCCTCGGCCTCCACCACGATTCACTCCGGTGAGGCCATCTGCGGCGCCCAAACCCCGTCCGTTACCCTCTCTAGCTACCAGGAGCCTAACCCCCTCTTCAATTTGACCTCTGCAGCCCTCTCCGACGAGTCCCTCGACCACCCGAGCCGCCGTCCGCCGGAGCAAAGCTCGACGTCGACGTGGTACTCGTCGGCGACCACCACCACCACCAACCGACGCGGAATGGCGCCCTGAGCACAGAGGTACCCTCTGATCCCCCTGCCTCGCCATGGATCGCCGTCGGCGACCACCGCGGCTCTCGGGCGCCGACGAGCTTCGTTTCCCCCCTTTTTGAAGTTTAAACCTGACGAGTGGGACCCCACCGTCAGCCTCTCTGCCCTCTCTGTTGAAACGTTTTCTGGAAGCGCCTTCGGGCAAAGTACGTTTTCCCTTGGGGCTGGCATAGTTTCTGCCGAAGCGTTTTCTGTTTTTATAAGCTAGCCCCTGGAAACTTTCTGTTTCATTACAGATGAGTCCCTGGGCAAAAACCCTTATAACTTTTAAACAGAATAGTATTTTTGATTGATTCTTTTTCTGTTCTCTTTAAAATTTTGTCTAGTTTTTTATCAGATTTATTTGAAAAATATTTGGAATACTTTTTGTGCACTCCTTGGTATTTACGATAGCGCATATATTTTCTTTATACCGTAGATACCGAAGGAGGTGACGGAGCCGCGAACTTCACCGAGCTAGGCTCCGACTACTCTGAACCAGGCAAGCATGTTTGAACTTTTGATATGATGAGTGTCTTGGCATGTTTTGCATTTAGTTAGTTTCATGGCATGTTGAGAAGTATATCGATGAACGTTATTTTATGCGATAATGAGGTAAGTGAGTTCGATGATCCATAAGTGGATGGATGTGAGTATGAATGGCCATGTGTTGGCATGAGGATGGGTGAGATGGCAGTGTTGTAGCATGCCAGTCTTATGCCAGACTATGTGACTTCAGTGTCAAACCGTATCGGTCCAGTTCCTCTCATTTCCTTCCCTGTACTACCACATGTTTTCCGCAAGGAATATGGTTTAGTAAGTTGCAAACCACTTTTCTGGTACACACCAAAAGGAGAGGCCATGATGATGGTTCCATGGCCCTGGATTAAAGCCAGTCATCCGGTCAGGGGGCATGGGTGTTTCCGGTTGGGATCGAGAGGGGGGCACCCCTTAGAGCGCGCGCATATAAATTTGATCCCACGCTATTCGAGATTGTGATCTCCCCGTCTCAAAAGTTTTTCTTGGACGATGTCTAGGGTGATTCCTAGCATCGAGAGGTAGGATGG